CTACAGCAGGGCCTTTTGAAGGAGGCCAAAACAACAAGTCAAAGGGGTTTTGGTCGCCACGAAAACCGACAAAAGGAAATGAGTTTGAAAAAGGAAAATATGAAAAAGACAACCGCGCCGACGACGGCGACATTTAAAGCGTGACGAGTCGACCATGCCATGCCCACACAGCCGAAACTCATCCACATCCCCAGCCTCATGGCATCCTCATGGATCCCATATCCCGGCTTAGACTGTTGGGTGCTGTTATGCAAATATTTGGCTGTTGCTGCCTTCTCCTATTCTTGCCCAGGCCCAGGCCCAGAGGCGCTGGCTCCAGCTCCAGCTACAGCTCTTGGGCTCCTGACTGCTCCCGACTGCTGGCGCTGTTGCTCCTTCATCATCATCTGCTGCTGCTGCTGCTGCTGCTGCTTCTGCTTCTAGTGCTGGTCCTGGTGCTAATGCTCCTGCTATTCCTTGTCTGGCTGCTCGTTTCAGCTTTTCTTTTTTCCGCCTTTGCTGCTTCTGCTGCTGCTGCCGCTGTTGTTGTTCTTGTTTTTTGGTATTTTGTTCTGCTCGAGTTTTTACCGCCAACACAAGATTTAATTAAACCAAAGACTTGATTTATGAACGAAAGGATTCGATGTCCGGGGCCGCCGTATTCAGCCCTCGGGTTCCGGGTTCCGGGATCCGGGAACCGGGAACCGGGATCCGGGGGTTTGGGTTCGTGCTTGGGTTGAAAAATGTCGAGCAAATGGGGCGCACAGACGGAGGCCGAGAGCACGGCTGCTGAAAAGGAGTTGAGCCGGCCAAGGAATAAGCACGGAAGTCGGCGGGAGCAAGTCTCTCCATTTCCCTCATATTGTTTTTGTAATAATGATTTGGCGTGCAGGATGGAGGAGTGGAGGCACAGCAGCTGAACGGGCCGTTAAAAGCGTTCACAGCATTACACCATACAACATACAGCGTACAACATATAAAGAATTGTTTTCCATCCAGGCACAACCATACAACCATACAACCATACAACCATCCAACCCCAACCTCCAATCCGATCCATCGCTGGAAACATTTTCTATTGTTTTAACCCTTTTTTTCGGGTGTATGGGTGGCCCTTCTTGTTGTATTTTTTATATTCCTGCCGCCGCTGCTCGTGCGGAAGTGGAAGTGGGATTGTGGCCATTGCCTCGGGCATCGATTTAAACTTAAAACAAGAACGACAACAACAACATCGATACAAGTATTACATTCAATTGAATTTACGCTGCTGAAAATTGTGAAAACTCAGACTTAAAGCAGCAGCAGAGGAAAAGCGGGGCGGCGAGGGGCAGCCATCGAAGATGAAGAGTCTGGCCAAGTGGAAGGAAACTAAGTGAAAACGAAGACTGGTTGATCTTCTTGAAGGGGAGACATTTGAGACAAGTTGAGCGGCAGCTGAAGAGCCAAATGAACCTAAATTTGCTGAAGAATATTAATAAAATATCGATAAAGTTGTCTCAACAGATAGCCTTTACGAAGCTCATAAGTGTATACCATTATCTTTCAGGCTTTGAAAATTAGTACTTTAAGGAAACCAGCTACTTTTCGTTACCGACTTATATTTTATTGGCCCTATTCCATCCACCTTAAATCAGTCATCAACCAACAGACTGCCCTAATAATCGAGGGCTTGATACAGTTAGGAACTCTTAAACTCTTAAGCCATGTCGGGCCTAAAAAGAGACTGGCAAAGATAAAAACTGATAGTGCGATAGCAACGTATCTGCACGGATCTGGAAGATTATATGGTACCCAGACAGATATCATCGTCACTGAGGGATAGACCTGTATCAAGTATAATGGATAGCATCGACACAGGCAGATCAAGAGGTGATCTTTCTCCTCTGGTGAGGATATAAAGTGTTAGCTCTTTAATGGCTTTAAGTAGAGCAGTAGGGTCAGCCTCCCTTTCACGAATAAAATGTTTTATTTAGTTAGTTATAAGTTTTTTGTTCCCTCATTGTAAAACCTTGTAGAACTGAGTAACAAATACGTATGGTATACATTATTCATGGCGTTTACTCCCAAGTTTAGACCCCAGCCCTGACAAGTGGCACATACATAGTTGGGTGGGGGGGTCAAGGCATTGGTCAGGGGAGGGGGTCTGACTTGTTGACCAATTGTGTGAATTATGTGCCAAGTGGCCTGTCTGGCATATCAAACAAATCGTCCTGCCATCCGAAATCCGAGATCCCGAGTCGAAATCGAGGCGCCAATCGCGGCCGGCAATTGAAGAAAATTAATCAAAGCGCCAAAGGGCTCCCCGAAGGCGGTGGAGTGCCTGACGGCGAGGCCTGGGGCGAAAATGATTTATGTGCGAGCAAATAATTTGGACATAAAGGTAACAAATTCTTTGATAATCATAAATCACAACAACACCGCTAGGCATTCATCTCTCTCTGCCTCTCTCTTCCTGGCACGCACACACACACACACACAAACACACACACACACAAACCGCACATTGGAGCGTAAGAAAGATAAATGATATTAAATATAGTAGCTGGAGACGCCTGTCCCCTGTACGCCATCCCATCCAAGACCGGTCCCGGCTCAGGGCTCAGGGCTCAGGGCCCGGCAAAGTAGTTGACCGGACTAATGTGTGAAACATTTCATTTCGTTGCCAGGAGGAGAAACAAATTGCCTATTGAATGATTAAAGGCCCGCAACGCAACGGAGGCGGTGATGGCAGCGACGGTGATGGCTGGCAACCGATGGCCAAGAGACTGGCATGGGTTCGAGGAGGCCTAGAGATGGTGCAAAGCGAACAATGGCAACTGGGAGTCACGCCCAGGGCAACTGTGTTGATATTGAAACTGGTTCCCTTATGGGTCAAGTACAGAATATACGTTTGATTGACTGGAAGCGCATCGTGGCATGCCCCTCATTTGCCCGATTCTTTAACTTGACAGGACTAGAGGAGTGTGGAATTCTGATAAAACGCGGCGATATACATACAATAGGTGTATAATTTTTGTATATAATAGAACATTTTCTCTATTCTGCACGTCGAGTCGAGCTCCATGCTGAAAAGTCGCTACAACCATCGTGTCACGAGCAGAGGCCCATCCCTGGGATCATCCTCGATTGTGAACAGGACTTGTCCTCTATCGCCTTTCATTTTGGGATTCGCGTGCGTACATCATAAATCATCGGGACTGGCCTGGCCTGTTCTCTCGGCCAGCCTCAGAACATATGAATTAGAAATTGTTACGCAGCCCTCCAGCCCTGATAGAGGAGGGTGGAGATGTTGGCCAGGGACTGGTCAGGGGTTGGGGGCCTGAGATGCCTGTCAACGGCATTGTCGCTGCCAGGACGTGTTGACGTGCATGAAATTCTTACGGTAAAGGATTTCATTTCATTTCATTCGTCTTTCGTTTCATTTGACTCTCGCTCGCCTGCCGCACGACTGAATCAGGCCAAAAGGAAAGGGTTACCAGCCCCAGCTCCGAACCCAGCCGCATTGACTCACGTATATATTTTATCTATAATTTTCACAGCAAATTTTCGGAGCCCGAACCTTTTGGGGCCACCGCTTGCCACCGCACTCCTTGCCCCATGCCCCATGCCCCATGCCTCATTCCCTGATTTTTAATTTCTACCCCACTCTCTCCTTGGGCCCTGTTTATTAGTCTGCGTTTGGCGGCTGCTCCTTGGCCATAAATCCTGCAACGTGTCTTGCATTCAATTTCTCGTTTCATTCTCTCCACACTTCCACACTGCTCTCCACATTGTTTCGTTTCGTTTGTTTTACTGTCAAAGATTACGCGGGACTTTAAGTGCTCTACGAGGTTCGCCTGGTCCTTGGCCTTGTCCTATGCTCTTTGTCCTCGAGGTCGGACCAGAATGTGCGCTCCCGAAATCAAGCCGGAATAAGCTCCACAAGAGCTCAGGTCTGAGGCAGCAGCATTGGCAAATTTCCTTTTTTATGTGCGTGTAGTTGTTGTCTTTTTTAATTTTAACCAGCAATTTTTTAAAAGCTTTTGTGGAATTGTCTGCCATAAGGGGGTCGCCTGGTTGGCAAGAGTTTCTTGATGCCTGCACTGGATGGCAATTTTACAAATTACATACATAATACACATTTAGATATACATATGTATATACCAAATATACCGCCTCAATTTCCTGAGGAAGCTTCAATAACAATGTTAACGGAAGAAATTTTCGCACACTCGGAACCGAGATTTGTACAGCTGTCCGCCGAATGCAGCTGGGGACCCCATCCTTTTCGAATACCCTCTTGACTTCAGGGCCCCGGTAAACAGGCCAAGTTACCGATTGGCCCTACTGTGGCGCCACAGACTGACCATATTCAGAAAGTCGTAGCCGGCCAGGCTTCTGTTCGTTGCAGTCTTGCTGCGACTGGTTCTCGGCGATCTCGGAGTATCTTCGGGCTTCATTGAAACCACGAGAGCTGACGGTTCTCTGTTTGCGCCGGTCTTCAGCACGTCACTAGTCTGAGGATCGTTTTGCGCACTAGATTTGTTCCCGCGCAGTTGGAATGCAGCACATAGTGTCGGTAAAGGGCCGATAAATTGCTGAATTTCTTCTAGAACTTTTATAATGTGATAACTATTTCTAATTGTTTCTATCATCCCGTTTTATACGAATTAAAAAGAGTTTTATATCGCACTACATAAGGCGCCAAATCAATAAAAAAAACAATCATCGCTTTCCAACATTGAAATGCCGCGAACAGCTGATCGGCAGGTTATTAATCGATGCTGCTATTGTTTTGTGCAAATTTTTTAGTATATATCCACTCGATATGATATCGCAGCTAGCTTTATTTCGTCGCCATCTTGAAATACCAGACGGAATGTCAAATCTTTCAAGCCTATCGATAACTCCTTACATTTTTTCCTGACCGACACGTCGAATCGTTTCTGACAAAGTAAAATACTTCCATTTCTGATTGAAAACATATATTTTTTCGCGTTATTTCTCGGGAAGTTGTAAACTGATCATCCATCTACGCAATCATGTCGGACAAAACACCGAATCCTACTTGGGCTGATGGGCTCAGCGACAGCCGTGAAATGCCGTCTTCTGCTGCCACAGCTGATGGTGCTGCACAGGAGGCTCCTGGCTCCTCTGAGTGGGTAGACCAAATACCAATTGGAACAGACGATGAGGAAATCGAGGAAATTGAGGACTTTGGAAACGACTCTCTCGTTTATGTCCCGCCAATTGAACCGCCGAAAATTCAGCAGAATACGTTTCTCCTCATTCAACAACAGCCAACAAGCTGGCAGGGCGGCCAGCCGCTACACAAGCCGATTCCACATTACGCTGTTCAAGTAGAACTTGAACCGCTCCAGGCTCCACCAAGCGCACTGCCACCACAGGCAGAAGCACAGGAAGCTGCACAGGAAGCATCATCAAACCCAGAGATCCTACCACTGACGAGCCTTGACATAAATGTTCTGCATGAGCGCTTTCCACCTATGCAGCAGCAGACTTGCAGGCTGCAGGGCTCCATGCCCCAAGCTTGGCGAAGTGGCCTGTCTAGTGCCTTCGTTCCATATCGCCCAACTGGTAAGTGGAATCATCTTGGACCGTGGCTCCTTAAACCCTTCCGTCTTATTCCGTCCACCAGTTGACCCCGAGAACGATCCCCCGGGAGCACAAGCACTGGAAAGCTTGGTACACGGTCAGCCGACAGGTGCGCTGAGTGGCCGCGGACACGCAGGCAGACACGCACACGGACGCGGACGCGAACGCCGACGCGCACGCGCACGCGGACACGGACACGGACATGGACACGAGCACGAACGTGGACCCGGGCGCGGACACGGAGCCCCATTGCTGGACCTGGCACCCACCAGAGGGGCACAGTCCATGCTAGGACAGGATGTGGGTGTGTTGCCCGGGACAAGCCATGACGATAACGCACCAGGGCCACTGCTGGACCTTAATCCTGAGTTTCGTGAAAGCCCCGAACCACTACGTTCCACATTATTTTCACAGTTTTGGAAAGAGTAGCCATACATATCTGTCGGCCTGCCCGATTGTATCTGTCGGCTGGGAAGAAAGTCTTTGTTCCCATGGAAGCAGATCATACAAAGGTACACAAATGAACTGGACAGGAGCACTGTATCCACTGCCTGTCCCCGACCTATATGTACACCATCTTAAACATCACTTGCTCATCTCAAACAATGTTTCTTACCCACAGGCGAAGCACGACTCAAGCCAGCTGACGGGGACCACGGCCACAGGAGATGGGTATTTTTTCCGCTCGAACAACACACATATCACTCATACACCATTCTATTTTTAAAACTAGATCTAACAATACACTCATGGTATCAGTTCAAAATTATATAAAAGTTTCGTATACAAGACAATACACAGAATCGATCGAACAAAAAAGAATTGTAATTTCTTAAAAATTATAATGATTCAATGAAAATATATTTATGTATACATCCGACAACATTCTGACGATAAATGTTCAAACAATTCATTAAATCGAATATGCAACGCATATCTTCAGCGAAACATGCCAATTTATATTTATTTAGCTCACAAGTGTACCTTTATTACTTCTAAATTTTGAAATTATATTTAGACCTTTCCTTTCTCGGAGGAAACAGTTTTCTATATGCGTACATATATGTACCTACTTATATGCTATATGTGTGCATAATATTATACAAGTTTGCTGGTTTATTGTCATTATTTGTGATGATCATAGCATTTAATGGTTATATTTACAAACAACCCATTGCCTAGCCGAAAAATGTGATAGTTTTACATAATGCTTTATAGTATACTCGATTTAGCCATATGTAACCCAATTTGTTTTCCATTTTGATATCTGTGGGTATATACCCATATAGACCAAATGCAATGCCAATGCTTGTAAATGTGGATATGCATATCAATTTTAAGAATGATATAGAATCGAATCGTGATAGTAATGATTTATAAAGTCATTTAATTCTCCTCAAAGTGTGATAATTCTAGATAGATTCTAGAATTCTTCCACTCACATCTAACAGAAAAAAAGTAAAGTCTAAAGCTAGTTACGTAATGTAGGCATTTAAGATAATACCCCCGCCATCCGGCTGCCACATCGAGGGCATTTGATTAGTCAACAAGCCACGGCCCCGCCAACTCCAGGCCCAAAATCTATCCAATCAATACGAAAGAATCTTGAGAGCAAACTCAGCGCCAAATGAATTATTTATTTGGATTTATTTGAGGCCGAGTAAAACAAATGACCCAAGCCAACAACAATCGCCGGCCGCCTACCAGAAACATTAGAGGGAAAGCCATTCTCTTGCTCCTGCTGCTCCCCACGCCCCCCACACACACACACACATACGCACGCACAGGAAAATAATCGAGAGAAAAAAAAGATACGGGGAAAGCAACCGGACGGAGAGTGGAGAGCTGCAGAGCTGACAACAAAGCGAAAGTGGCATAAATAAATAAAGAGCAAAACACAAAGCATATTAGGCTAAGCTACTTGCGATTTCCGTTGCACGTCCGTCCTGCTATAAAAATGCGGAAGCTGATTAGCCAGCCCGGCCCCAGAACCACCCACAAAAACCACCTTCGTCTCCACCGACCCACCGACTCACCAACCCCAACCCCAAACACCATAGCCAAGGAAAAAATGAACTCCGTGGCAATCTTGGATAGACGGCGGCGAACCATTCAGCAGACCCTTGGACCCCAGACCGGGGGTGGTTGGATTTTATGAGGCACGAAAATTTACAACGCCTCTGGGGTTGTCTTCAGACCCAAGACCAGCCAAAAAAAAAAACAACGATGAAGACTGTATAAAAAACGAAGAAAAGAAAGAAGTTGCCAAGTCTCATAATCGAAATTGGTCACAGGTGGCCCCAAGCTCAAGTTGACCAATACCCGGGCAGCCCTAGGACCGGTCCCGGTCCCGGTCCCGGTCCCGGGACTGGGACTGGGACTGGGGCAGGAACTGAGCTTATTGAAATTAAATGTGCTGGCCAGCAGATAATACCCATTTAAGGCGTGTTTAGTTAACTTGAGTTTGATTTGGGTGACCGTGACCCCTCGCCGGGTGTCCCATCGGAGGTAATTTATTGTGAAACTGAAGCTATTCTCAGGACATTCGATTAGAGATTGGAGTAGGAGCGAACGATAAGGAGGATTGGAAGGGGGGTTGTCTTCTCAATCAAACGCCCACTCTCTATCGCCTCTACTTCTGGCCACGTAAATTAAGAAAAATTACAAAACAAAAAAAAAACCAAGGCCTTCCTTTTGGGGCAACCTCCTCAGACGAGACGAGTGTGTCAACTCAAGACAACATGACATCTCCTCGCTGCTGGCCCTCTGCGTTCTATTTGGACTAAATTTTTAATCAAATCAAATGACAGAAATCATTAATTTTGCTTCAGCTAGACATTTGGACCATTTCTCAAAAAAAAAAAAAAAAAAAAAAAAAAAAAAAAAAAAAAAAAACTAGAATGAAAAGAGGGAAGAAGAAGAAAACAAAGCAAAATATTTTCTATTTGCATGCTTAAAATCTTAAAGTATTCATTGAGGCAGAATCTACTAGAGGGATTCGTTGAACTTCAGGATTTTTTTTTTAATCCTCTTTAATTCCTTTTTATACAAGTATGATATTCCTTTCTTTAATCGCAAGATTCAAGATCTCAAAAGGCTCCAAAATATTTCTTATCGTGCTCTCTATATAGAACAGAGCCGTCCATCTATCATGAGCAGATAATCTGTGACAGCCACCAGCTGACTCATCCCGTGAGAGGAAGGAAGGGGTAACTGATCCTGGCAGCAGCCCACGCCATCGTCCTGTGCTAGCAAGTCATCTATCACAGGGAGCTGATCTTTAATTATTTGAACGATTCAATTGACATTTGTAATAGTTTTTGCCTTGCCCAACTCCCACATCATTTTGGGAGCTGGAAACATGTGTCCCTGACACAACATGGGAGCTGCCCTGCCCAGCCCTGCCCAGCCCTGCCCACCGAGGGCTAGTTGGATAGGACGGATGCTGACGAGCGGACATTGATAAATCACATATGGATGTGCGCTTGAGGTTGGGCGTTGGGCGTTGGGCGTTGGGCCATGGGGCTATGGCTGTACAAACGTATACGTTCCGCTGTTGTTATTTCTTTCCACTTTTTCTGATGTTTCGAAAACGCGACGTTGCAAACAAACCGGCAACCGAGCGACCGAGCGACCGACCGACCAGTCAACCAACCCCGCCGTAGTCCGTACCCCAACCCCCAACCCCCCCACTCTAGCGGCCCAAAGTGCACACGCTTTTCTGCAGCGACATCAAATTACGAACTCATTATTGTTAGCGACGACAATGGGGTACCGGTACTAGGGTTTTCTGGGATACACGTACCCATCTCACTCTCTCTCTCTTCCTACTTCTCCCGTAGCTGGACAGGAACTCGGTTTCTGGAACTGGGGACTGGGGACTGGGGACTGGGCACTGGCGACTGGTTCCTGGGTTCTGTTGGTGCTTGCATTTACCGAAAAATACTTGAATGAAAGCAGGGTCAGGGACCCGGTCGCGTTCCCATTCCCGTTCCCGGGATGAGGGTATTTGTTGACGTTGATAGCGAGCTATGCGCGAATGAGCTGGTATTTTTTCTCTCTCTCTCTTCAATCTCTCCCTCTATTTCTCTATTTCGCTCTGTCGCTGTGTAAGCGAGGGCAAACGACACCGAGAAACGAAAACCCACATCAAACTGACCAAAATGCATGGAATGCCTATGAAAATTGTAAAGCGTTGTTGCATTGTTGGCAGCGCCGTATAGCGTTGTGCACCCTTTCAACACCCCGCGATGAGCCCCGCAGTGCTGCACACTGCACACAACCCGACCCCCATCCCACGATGACCCCGTAGCGCTCATTAAATGACACTCGCAGGGAAGGCGGACAGAAATTGCATGCTATAATGCACACAGGGCTTCGCAAGCTACGCTAGCTGCATTCTGCATGGAGGCAGAGGCATATCACAAGAGGCGTGGCATTGCATAATTTTAGTTTTTCCATTGGAGGCGCTAAAAAGCCAGAGAGGCGACCCATGGGCCCCTGCCGCCTGCCGCCTGCCGCCTACCGCCTACTAGCTGCCGCCTGCCCGTGCCGCTCATTCGCTCGTCCATCAGCATATTTGCCCTGTTTCTGTTGTCACACGCAGAGCTCGGAGGGGGCTTGGGAGGTGGCTGCTTTGTTTTACTTTTGGCCAGGCCGGGCCGGGCCAGGCCACGCCCCCACCTCCGCCTCCTGGCCCCTCTGTCTATAAGTTTATGTGTTGTTTCCCCAGAATCGGGGCATAGTGTAAAAATGAGCCAGCGATAACATTTGATTGAGCTCAATTATGTGCACATATAAAATATAAATATATAAGAATCTACTGGCGAGGAGTGCATTAATTATACGACATATCTTTGTAGAACTAGGAATATTCAAATAGGCAAACAAATCAATTGATATTATTTTAATAGTTTTATATATGCTATGGTCTGCTCCTATAATACGATACGATTCTAAGCTTAGGGTCCAACTGAAAGGAATGGCGTAATTTATCCCATCCATTGGATCATTTAAAATTTAATTTAATTTATTTTAGTGCCATAAAATATGGAGTTAAAACAGAAAATTCGATTGAGGATTAAGGAACTGTTTGTCTAAGGATCCTTCCATTAATCCTGAAAGGGGGTTTCATTGGGCGATTTATGTACGCATGATATCATTCTCCCCTCCGGTCAGGGTATTTCCAGCTGCGACTATATATGTTCCTGCTTTAGTTTTTGTTTTTATCATGAGAGAGAGTGGGCGTGGAGATGGGCAGAATGTGGCACGAGCACGAGGGAATTTTCGTCTAACGTATTTCGTTTTTCGTATTTGCGAAAAACCGTGAAAATTACATGCCGCTGACGCAGCGGCGCCGTCACTCATGACCTGCCTTCCCATGTCCTCTCTCCCGCTCTCCCACCATTTTGGCTGCACTTTTATTTCTGCCGAATTTCAGGAGGAAGCCGTGTGTTTTATTCTCCCCCGCCACCCGCCACCCGCCCCCTCGCGACCCCTTCCCACTCTCTATCGCTCTCACTCTGGCTCCAGTACTACCCGTCTCTCTCTGCTGATACGGCACGAAGTTGTCGCTGACCGCAACATCGCATGTTGTAGGTGCGCCAATGACGCTGATTTTGTTCCTGCTCTCGCTGCTGGGGCTACACATTATTAACAGTTCCTGTGACAAAGCCCCACTGAAGTGGGGCTCCAGCTTCAGCTTCAGCTACGGCTGCGGCTCGGCTCGGCTCGGGGTACAGCATAGGGTGGCGTCCCAGGTCCCAGGTCCCTGGTCCCAGGTCGCAGGTCGCAGGTCGCGGGTGGTCGGGGCGCGCCACCTGTCATGTTGCAGGCAAACGGGGCGACGCTGTCGTTTCGATGTCCTTTGCCGGCCGTTCGCTGTCCAACAAAATGTTTTGTGGTTCCCGTTGCCGTTACGAAGTTTGTGACGCCGCCGGCTGGTTGTTGTTTATTCTGGCTTCTAGAAAACTGCGCCACTGACATCCCCATCCTCCACTCATTCCATACAATACAATACCTCCTTTAATACGAGTACGGGTACGCGCTAGAGAGAGAGAGCACAATTGTGTGTACGTTTATGTGAAATTGAGAAAATCTCATGTGTTTTCCTGGGCTTGGAAGTGCCCCTAAGTGTGTGCGTGGAACCGCTGAAAGTCAAGAGATTGTTGGGGATGCCAGTGCCAGCCACACTACATAAGTGCTTATAAGGATTCGCTAAATATTACAGCCTATATTTCTTTCTGGAGTGTTAAGACAACCATAACTTGCTGGCTAAACTTACCTGATCCTGGGCTCTGATCTTTGCCACTCAGCCTGTAATCCCGCATGGTCAAGGGAGGAGTGTCGCGCACCAAATAAATGTATGTACTACTTATATTGTCTTAAGGAGGCACTAGATACCCTAATCTATTGGGTTCCCAGCCACCAAGGCATCGAATGAAACGAGGCGGCGCACGTTCTGGCTGAGGTCGGAGTCGGGCTGGCTAATGTCTCCCTTAGAACGCTACAAAGCGATTCAGAGAAGCAGGCCACCCTAGGGATAGAAAGCAGGCGGAGGAGTACCACTGCAACACCTGAAGCATACCCGAGCGCCCTGGAAGATGCCTCCAAGAGGACACCAGGGGAACTCAGTACTTGCCTTTGCTAAAAAATACCTCGATTCTCGAGGATTCTCTTTCAAACCTCTCAAGCACTCCCCCATACGGATGACGAAGGGTCATACTGGCCTATGGGTGGCCCCTCATAACCTCACCTTTTATTGTCTTTGGTCAGAGTCTGGATTCCTCTCATGAAACTCTTTCATTGCTGTCTCATTGCCATACTCGTATGTGTCGCCTCCTCCGGCTGTCCAGTTTTGTGAATTTCCGGTTCTTAAACTTGTTAATTTACCTCAAAACACCTGGTCAATACCCTAGGATCTACTTATTACACACTTTTCAATATGCATTTTCCATTTGCCTACAAAAGCATTCCGTTTCCATTCCCTATTTGAAGATTCCAAATTTCTATTACATTCCCAGCATCACCCCAAAATGGGGAATGCGGCAATTACAGGCCCAGGTACTAAGCAGCAATTTATTAATAATAAGCAGAGCAATTAGCACTGCAAGTGATTTGATAGCCAGGCCTCTGAAGGAGCTCTCTGAAAGGTGTTGCGCGGCACACATGCACATGTCACGCCCCATGCACGCACACACGTACACCGAGTACATGTGTGTACTCGTATCTGTGTCTGCTTGTACGAGTACTCTGCTTGGATCTGACGTTTGTGTTTTTGGTGTGTGGTGTGTGACAGAGGCGTCATAATAAAGACACCCACCCACGCCCCCAGAGATCCAAGCAATTTGCAGTAAACTGAACTCGGATGATGATACCCGTGCACGTACGTCTTTGGAGGGGGAACAAGACAGTTAAATTTATTGCATGTGTGTATGTGTGTGTGTGTGGGGGTTTGGGGGTCTCTAATGATGGCATAATTAGCAGCAAACGGTAGGTAACTTGGGCCCTGCCTCAAGTGTCTATGGCTCGCTCTTCCTTCCAAGTTTTTGGCATTTGATAATGACATAAAGTCAAATTACTTGCAGGAGCCAGCGGCAAGCAGCGGCAAGCAGCGGCGGTGGGAGAGTGGAGTGTGGAGAGGCAGGTGGTGTCGGGTGGGGAAACATGTTAATTGAAAGCCCACTTATTGAAATGAAAACGCGATTGAGAGATGCACAAGAGAGTGGTTGGCTCTCTCCATTTCCATCTCCATCTCCAGCTCCAACAGGCTGTCTCGGGCTGTCTCAGGCCGTGTCTGTACCGTTGTGTGAGTGGACAATTGTGCAATTGTGTTGCCAGGACACACACAGCCATGCGGCCACACAGGAGTGGCCATCAAATTTTCTATTTAACGCTTGAGCGACAGTCCCACACAAAGAGGACCCAGGACAGATGCTTTAATTTCGAACCTGTTCAACCTCAAACACGATATGAAAGTTTTTGGTCTGCTCTGTCCTTTGTTAACAACCATCTGCCAGAGAGGTGGAAAGCTGGAAAGGTGGAGAGTTGGAAGTTGGAAGTTGGAAAGGTGGAGAGCCAGTGTCAATGCCGGTTGTCCTGGGCAACAGTTTATTAGGTTGAGTCCTTGCCGTTTCTTAAGATTGCCAGCCAGCCGCCGCCCACACTTGGCCCGTGTCGCCATCGAATGCCAGTCATCATTTGAGGCAGAAAACGGGTAGCCAGGACAACGTCTCCAGACAGCGAGGGCCCAACACTTGACGGCAGCACAAATTTCTGATTTTCCACCCGACAAAAAATAAAGCGAAACAAAACGTAACGAATATAAGTAAAAGATAAGTAAAAGGCCAAAGGCCCAGCTGCGTCTGTCATGGCCATTGACCAGCCAAGCCAGCCCGTCCAGAATGGGATGACAGCCCAGGAGAAGTCGGTGTCAAAAAAGGTGACACGAGACAAGCTTGACTTGATGACGAGAGAGTGCGAGAGAGAGAGAGAATAGAGTGAGTGGACCCACCCCCCAAGGGCTAGGCCTTGGCCTTTCATTTTATGTTATTCATTTTTAATTTCTTTTGCTCCTTTTTTACACACACACACACACACACATACAGCTGTGCGAGTGTGTGTTTGAGTTTGGGCTTAAACTCACATTCGAGTATGTTAATTTTCGTATTTTAACGACAAGGATCGGGTCAGGAGAGCAGGACCAGGAGCCCGGGTCCCAGGACACGTTGACGATTTGTCAGTTCCAAGTCATAAGGCAAAGTTAATTTTCTGCCATTTGTTTCAGATTCGGGCACGGTAGATAAACCCTTTCTTTACTTATTGTACACATGATACTCGTACCCGCTCTCCGCATCTCCGTAATTGGATTGGGTTGGAGGGGTGTCACATATGGGCTGGGGGCTGGGCTTAGTGGCGGAGCACTTGACAAATGAGTCGCTGGGAGATATTATCCCACAACAAATATAGATACTATCGGGGTTGGGTAAAAAGAGTATACATATATTAGAACTACTTGAAAGTTGTAGGCTTCTATCAACCTTCAGAAGGCGTTCCAGCTAAGTGGAGATAAAAGAGTTAACAAAGTTCCCGCGAAAATAAGAATAAGATAAATAATCAGAGCTGAAGACAAGCGATTACATTAAGACCCAAAGCTCGCAGAGGGATAATCCCTTTTTTTGTGCCGTCTTAGAAGCCATTCGCTAATTGCTTCTATGCTTCATTAGACTGGGCCAAGGGGGGGGAAAGAGGGTAGTGAGCGTTCTTGGATCGCCGCCAAGCTCATTTAATATGAGCTGGGAGAACTCATTCATTATTCGCCGAGACTTAAATAAGGCTGCCCGGCAGCCAGGCAGCCAGAGCGAGTGCCAGAGCGAGTGCCAGAGCGAATGCCGGATTCCCCGGGAACATATTCGTATCGCAAGCTGAAAGTCTTTGCCGCCTCGTCCTTTTTGGCCGAGAGACCCTTTTTCCAGAATTTTTCTGTTGGCTGGATTTACTTTTAGACGCCTTTTTTCGCTTTCAAGTTTGACCATTTATTTAAACTTTTTATTTAGCGAGACTTCTATTTGCGCCAAAGTCTCTCCAGCAATAAATTCAATTCTCCTTTTCGCCGCTTTGCTGCCCCCCCCCCCCCCCCCCCCCCCCCCAGCAGCTCTTGTTAACCCCTTTGATGGGTAGCCAGGCCGGGGTTGGGGTGAGATTTGGGGCAGGAGGGGAATTAATTTTCTTAAAAGCTTTTCTTGGCGGCGCTGATTATCCAAATCCCACCTCCCATTCGCTCTTTCTGTATCTGTATCTGTATCTGTATCTGAGAATGAACAGGATTGGACTCATTCCATGCGCATTGCAACGGCATTGCAAGTGCTTTTTCTCAGGATCAGACACGAAATAAAATATCACTGAATGCGAGTACGAGCACTCTTTGCTTCTGGTCTCGTTTTAATCAGTTTTGAATTTTTAATTGAAATTTTTATTAACGAATCTTTGGCACACTACTCGAAGTACCTTATTTACAATTCATCTCTGGCTGACTGTCTTTCTGTCTGTGTCTGTGTCTGTGAGTGTGTTTGTGTGTGTGTGTGTTAGCTTAAATTTATTTTTAATAAATTTTAAAATATTTTTGTATTATATGTGTATATCTATTCTTTTTCTTGCAAAAAAAAACTGGTACATTATATTCTTAAACATCTAAATATATAATTGTTGCAATATTTATTTTACGTGGCAGAAACTGGGAGCAATATATAAACAATTTACACAGATCTGGTATCTACATCAGTAAAGTATCAGTAAAGTATCTATATGTATATATAATTACTTGTTTGGTTTTTATATTATAATTGCCCCCGCCTTGAACTGCATATATACTCGTATATATTATATGTTAGGGTCATACTAATTGATTTAAATTCGATATGTGAGCCGCTTAGACTAGGGTTGACCATACAAAAAAATAACACGCAAAAAACATTACATAGTGCGGGGACTGCTCAATGAATTTGTGGATAGATCCTTCTGCTGCCTGGCAATCGATAAGGTCTCTCTGCTGTACATGTATCTTTGAACTTGATCGCTGATAGAATGGTGAAGAAAGTCCTTGTGAGACTACTGCAGAATCGTTGCAGATCTTTTCTTTAAGACTTTCTCTTAGTAACATATAATGCATGACCAAGTGTCTCTACGTGCAAGCCAGGGATATATATATCTATCTGGATGTCCATGGAGCAACCCCCGCCAGCTGCGATATGGCGACTATTCACACAACACCACAACCGCAATACTCTCACTCTCTCTCTCCTCTCCTCTCCCTCTGTCTCAATCTCTGTCCCCGTATCCCTTGGGTTTGGTCTCCTGGGCATCCTTCCCATCGATCCGCTGCTCGCCCTGTCCATGCGCCGCCAGGCAGGTGCCCAGCAAGGCGACCGCCAGCCGCTAGTAGGGGCGCCACACATCCGCCGAAGGCTTGGGAGTGCGCGTCCGTATGGGGCCGCCACCACTGGACCCAGACCCGGAAGCAGAGCCGCTGGCGGAGCGAGATGTGGTGCTGACATCGTCCAGATCGATGGTCTCAACGGGCGACGGCGAGGGCGAACGGCGCGTGGAGCTGACCGGCGGCGAGGAATTCGGATTGGCATTCTCCGCATCCGGCGGATTGTGCGTGATCAGTGTGACACAGCGCTTGATCAGATTAACGCCGTCGTGGTCGCCGCCGCTACTCATCAACGAAGTCGCTGAGTCCTGGGGCTGCGCCTGCGTCTGGGCTTGGGCCTGGACCTGGGCTGGGACCGCACTGGCCGCTGCCGCCGCTGCGGCGCTCCTCAGCCAGGGTAGATCACTGTAGCTGCCATAGAGCTGGGTGTACAGCCACTGGCTGGACTGCGGCAGGAGCGGGCTCTGCAGGAAGAGCTGAGCGGCCAAGGCCGGATTGAAGCTGTGCGAGGGGGCAAAGTGATTAGCGCCGGCCGCCGCAAAGCCGCCGAACAGCTCCGATGGATTTTTGCTGCGCTGGATGAGGGCGGTGAATGCCCCACCCGATCCGGGGGCGGTCTCGGTCAGGGATCCGGCGACTGAGCGTCCACTGATCGTGGCCAGGCTTCTGGCATCGCCGCTTAGCTGTGTGCCGGGTTCCGCTTCCGCCTCGCCATCTGGTTCCGCTTCTGCCTCAGCTTCCGCTTCCGCTTCAGCATCCGCTTCAGCCTCCTCTTCGTCGTGTGTGAGCGGAGAGCTGATGCTCTTCCGGGGCGATCCCGTCACCGAAATACTATCGCTCTCGAAGCCCGCATCGATGTTGCTGCTGTTGTTGTTATTGTCGTGCTGCAGCGAGGTGAGGATCGTGGGTGGTGATCGGGGCGAGCCGAGGGGACAGTGGATCGCTGGCTGGACAAACGCACTCAACGTTCCACTGGTCGTTGTGGTGGGGGATCCCTCCGGACTGGTGGTGCTGTGAGCGGCACCCACTGTCGCCAATTGCTGTTGGTGCTGCTGCTGCTGCTGCTGATGCTGTTGCTGCTGCTGGCCATCTGCTGGAGGAGATTGAGAGAGTGAGATATAAATCTATTTCATGGGGTATATTTCAGGGTGCACCCACCGCTCAATCCTCTCAAGCCGCTGGCCGCCGGAAATGCCGCATGATGCCCGAAGAATGGGCCTGCTGGGAAGCCCGCTGAACGCCCACCTAGGGCCATGTGGGCACGCCAATCGGGAGCATGCAGATGACTGTGCATCCCCACCAAATGATGGGCGAAACCTGTGTGGGAGAAGAGAGCACAATATTGAGATTAAATCAATTTAAAAAGCATCGTATTGTTTACACAATTAACTGTAATGAATTCGGGCTCTACTGAGAAGCACTTCTTTTGAACAAAACCTCTGAAACTCAGCGAGAATATCGTCCGATGTTGGACACAACCAACATTCATCGCAAAAGTGTTTCTATTTCCCAAATTAAGTATTTTCGCTTAGAAGAAATTATACTAAGTATTGTCGATGAGAGGAGCAATTCCTGTACAGAGAATGAGGAGAAGTTCTACGCAGAATACAAGGAAGTTGCAAGACCAGGAGCTTCCCGGGTGTCTACACAATAGCCACACATTGGCGGAAACGGATCCATATACATTAGTGGCATGTTCTGGGTCGGCTAGTGTGCTCTCGTCAAGTCGGCCCTTAAACAGGCCAACGATCACGATTCGTTCATCTCCAAGGAAGGCGTCACCAGCACTGGCAAAGTCCAGGCAACGGGCACGACTGTGGCAGGGCCAAGAAACCTGGCGAGTCTTAAAATACTTTTGAATAAATGTATGCATAGTTCTTTGGATTACTTACACAAACAACAAGTTTAATATTTTATGCATTTTATTTCAAAGTGTTTGATATTCTTCTAAGTGGAATATTGCCATTTTTCTAAGTGTAACTATCTCTGACATACATACATATTTATACCAAATCGGATCGCTATACGAGTATCCATCAAGCAGTGCAGTTCACAGTAGTCAATGCCTTCTCGTTGCGAGCGTTGCATATTTAAACATAATTTTGAAAGTAATTTCTAGTACTAATAGTTCAGTTCCCATATCCCCCAGATGTCCCATCTGCTCTGCCAACTGCAGGCTTCTCATAAGCACACTTCAAGGGTATGAATAGGAGCACGAAGGTTAGGCCAACTACATAAATCATTCGAGAGACGGCCAAGTGCACTGCCAAGACCAAGACCAATAACCGAAATCTCAAAACCAAAAAAAAAAACAAAAACAAAGAGGAGCAACAACAAAACAAGCACCAGACCCAGACTCAGACTCAGACTCAGACTCAGGAACACGGACACGAACAAAAGAAGAAGTAGACGGAGAGCCTGCAAAGCCGTCTCGACCACATATAGCCCACTGTGCAAGACCAAAAATGTTGCCGCACATTTTGGTTGCTGCAAAACAACATTGGCAAGGCCTCCATGGCGGATGGATCCCTCCACTCTGCAACGCTCTGAGGCAGCCATTGCTGCTTGCTGCTTGCTGCTTGACGCTTGCTGCTGTGTGTACATATGTATGGGGCAATACATGTATATATGTATGTGTGAGTGTATCCAATGGGAGCGCCACCTGCCGCTGGCCGCCGGCCGCCGGCCGCCTTCCGTCATGGGAGCCGAGACCAAGACAAACTCCTAAATAAATTCATTAAAATTATCCCCCAAGCTGGGCCGTCCCACTCGCTCTCTCTCTTTCTGTCTCTCTGGCCGTTTATCTCTATCTCTGTCTCGCACGCGGCTGGCTGGTGTGTCCATGCGGCCGCCATCAAGTGGCAGCCCACATTTGTGGGCAAGTGGAAGGAAGCCAGTGCCAGTGCCAGTGCCAGTGCCAGTGCCAGTGCACTTCTGCCATTGCAGCAGCTTCCTTATAAGAGGCAGGCGCAGACACAGACACAGACACAGGCAGTGGCAAGGCGCGACTGTGACGCTGACTGAGACTGCGGCATTGGCAGTGGCAGAAGCTGAGGCAGAACCAAAGACGGTCGAAAGGAGGGGTCCTGGCTTTGGGGTAAGGACAAATGCCGAAGCTTAAGAAAACCGTCTCTGAGAATTCTCCTCTCTGAGACGCAGACCGACCACAATACACTCACATGCTTTTGTGCTCTCTTCTCTCTTTCTCCATCTCTACTTCTCTCTCTAATGGCTAGCTGGCTCTCACGCTCGCTAGCGTTGTCTCGTTCTAACACACTTGAGGCCAAATACTTGGCCAAGTTTTGCCAAAGTTTGCAAACCAAAATTTCACCGAAAATGTGACACCAACGAACCAACCAAACGAACCAAACAGTCGGCGACAGTGGCGGCAGCCAAAGGGGGTGTTGGAGTGGTGGCGGGGGGCCTCCCCCGCCTCCACTACTTGTAGGCAGTGCAGTGCAGTTCAGCATCTTAATCATCTCATCGCTTACGCCCAGCCAGCCCCCATGTCTTGAGCAGGTTCTTCTGCTGCATTACCTGATTGGCATGGCTGCATTACGATTTCCGTTTTTCCACCTATACAGCTCCACACACACACACGCATATATAGTATAGTCATTGATATCTGTACAATACATGCAAACTAGGTCAAACAGGCAACACTCAAGACGAGGAGGGGGGGGCCGCTTTTGTCATACAGACTCTCTCTCTCTCCGCGTCTCTGTCTGGGATCTTTTTGATGAAAACTTGTATTCAGTCAAAACAAAGCCGTGGAAAACCTTTCAGGCAGCGGAGAGGGGGTATCGGGGGCTGTGCAGCATCTGCTCAGAAACTTCGAAGCAGATTAAGACTATTTTCTGTTGCTTTTCCAGAACTCAAGCATTTTCGAGTAGAACTATGCATTTACTATTGAGATCTGCCAGCCCCTTTAAGACTTATGGCTTTCAAATGCACTTCTCAAAAACTCCAACGATAGTAGCAATGCACACATGGATCCTTCCATGGCCGAATTGAAGCGCGACTGTCCTGCCAGATGATGCGTATACGTAAACGTTCCAAGCCCCCTTAAGTAAAAGCCACCTGTGCAAGGTATAATGAGAGAGCGAGAGACAAAAAAGAAATTTTCAGATTTTACACAGTACAAATGACGATACGAATACCGAATCGATTCCATTGCCGGTTTAAGGAGGGCTCTCTCACATATGTCGGAACTATATACTACACAGCTTGACCAGTCCTAGAGGCATTCGATTAAGATTCAAGATGCTGTTCGAATAGGTCGGATCTTGCATACAAACTCTCTCCATGAATACCTTCGTCCCTTATTATATTTTTTGTCCAAATGTCCTGGCCATATTATTATGTGCTCTTCGGCAGTATATATACATAAGTACATATTTACATATATCTCCATTTATGTGTAGGCGAGCTGCTGTGTATCCCAGATGGGACACAATTTTATAGTTGGGTTTTAGTTTTGTGTCACACAAAATGGCAGCAGTTACAGCCCACAGAAGTACGACCGACTCGACGATCGGTGATGGTGGCGGGGGCCTCTCCCCTGGTCAGTCCTCTTCTGCATAGCATCCCCTACCCTGCTGTCACGCCTCCCTCACCGACACACATACACATACAGACACAGATCTGAGTAGTGCCCGCCCACGATGTCGAGTGCTACTTAAAGTTAGCAGCGGCTCCTCTGGCGACGGCGACGGCGACGACGTCGCAGCAGCAGCAGCAGCCTCAGCAGCAGAGCTGTGGCAGTGTTAGTGGCAGCGCAGAGCAGCAGGCAGAGGCATACCATTGAGCAAATTGTGTTGCCATATAATATAGCATCATGTCGATTTTGGGTAACCCAAAACTATGTGCATACATACATACACATGCCACTGTCTGTGTGGGCAATGGCCAAGCCCCCCAAACACACACACACACGCACTAGCAGCGACGTCGACAGTGGGTACCCCCCATAACAAAAACCTAAATATGCGGTCCTGTAAGGGAAACCCTATGTGCGATAAAGGGTTAGCCACGCTTGGTGTCAGTTTTGGGTTTGCCATTTCTACAGTTTTTTTGGTGTTTTTTCCCCTTTTTTTTTTTTTTGGGTCGGACTTTCTTCGGCACACCACGTAACGGTATTCGTCGATGCTGCTGCCTTGGCGTGGCGTATTCCCATTTGGGGCAGGTGCCGGTGCCTCCCCCTTCTAGTAACCCTCTCCTACGGCATTTCGATGTATGTGAGTCTGTATGCGTCTGTGTGAGTGTGTGTGTGTGTGTCGGAGCATAACGCGGTGCCATTGGTGCGCCACAAAAAGCTTTCATGAGCCCCAACGTCCTATGCTTATGTTTCCCTTCTCGTTTTTTGTTTTTGTTGCGTCTCTGCTTTCGCTTCTTCTCCTTATGCTACTTCTTCTCCTACTTTTTTTGGGTACCGCAATGTGGGGAGATATTCTGGTTGGTGGGTATGGTCAGGGGATGGTAACCAGGGGGCTTTAGAAGCATCCACTGTTGTAGGGAATGGGCGAGAGCGGAAATTGCAGCCATTTTCCATCTAGGGAAAAACTTGGACTAAATTTTGCCAAGATTCCAATGCGATTTCATGTGGCAAGTTCGCTTTAATTGTTGGTGGGTAATCTCATAGAAACTCGCAAGAATAATATATTGAACATGTTTGCTAGGTATTCAATACGTGATCTTATTTTCTTCAACCCATCCCTCCCACCATAATCTTCGTAATGTATTCGAAAAGTAAAAGACCATTTCACTGTGTAAGATCCGAAAATTTCCTTTTTTTTCCCGCTCACTCCCCATTTTCTTGCAAAAAATGCGCGGCCCTATCAGTTAGGGCCATGCTTATGAGAATGGGTGATCGCTGACTTGTAACCGTGTCCACAGCCGTGGCTCAGAATAATAATTCAGTTAAAAAAGCTTTAAAAATATATCAAATTTAGATATATTTATTGCGAAAATCCTTTAACCAAATCCTTTTGCCAACAAATTTGTATTTAAAAAAGAATTTATAAAAAGAAAGCTAAAGCTAAAAGAAATCCTTGGTCATTGATACAAACCACCAGGATATAGACAACATAGGAATCCTATCCTAATACAAAATAACCATCTCATCAGATCTGTTCTTGGCTCTTAGTACTGGGAGCATCTTTAGCGGTTTGCCGACGGCAAATGCAGCGCTTTTCCTTTTCCCTGCCGCCGACGGCATTTCGATGAGGGACGCACGGCCCGGCGCCCAGCGAGAGAGAGAGAGAGAGAGAGAGAGAGAGAGCTAACCAAAGACCGACCCACCCACTACACCCGCCCAC